CATGGGAGGTTGGAACCAAATGAGGTTGTAGAGATTTTAGGAACTAATAACAAATCTTGGACCAATTACTTGGTCAAAAGTTGTTATTCCCGTTTAGACAATCTAGACATCAAATGTGGCTGAAACATTATGAAGCTCGAATGTCCAAAGCAATTGGCTGGCGCATCCCTCTAATAATCTTGAAATACTTGGCGTGCGATGTGCTTGACGCATTTCAGTAATCAATTTTCAATTTTCCTTACAAAATAAACAAATTTTCATCAATTAGCCTTTATTTGCTTCTAACTACTTGTCCAAGTCCTTAATAACGAAATATGCACATTTTCCATGAATTATATGCATTAACATATATTTTCCATCATAATTAACTCCCAACTAAGCATGTAAAACTACTCTTTTTAGCCTTTAATCAAGTCTTATCACACCCCAAAACTTAATATTTTGCTTGTCCTCAAGCAAAAACAACAATGATCAAATCAATAATAAGCAGACATAATACATGAATAAACCATACATAAAGAAAGTCGAGTAATTTACTCATATATGGTGTCTCAGGAGGAACATCAAAGCTTTAATCGCTACTACTCTTTTCAAGCAAAATCATCATAAAGCCGCATTTTTTTAAAAGATAAAAGCTTTTCAAATTCTTCTATTGTCTAACTTAAAAAACTTTTTCAAATCCAATAGAGACTATGCACACTCCCTTTAATGAAAATTTTCTAGCACAAAAATGACTCGAAAACAGGAAAATCACTCAAAGGATTTTCTAGGCTGGCAATCAATTCGAGCTTGTCGATTAGTGAGTTGCACAAAGTGAAGCTAGATCAAAGTTGCTACCATAAAATTACGAGTATCCCTAAGTGAGACTCTTTTCGCAAACAGAGTGGGAATTGAGTTAAGGCAAGCTTCCTTACTTTTATTATCTCATTTTTTTTTTTTGCCTCAAAGTTTCTTCTTTCACGCTTTTGTCTTTCCTCTCTTATTTTCATTTTCCTTTTCTTTGCAAAATTTTCTATCACTTCTTCCTTTTTTCTTTTGCCATCTTTTTTCTTCGTTTTTCCACATTTTTTCTTACCTTTCTTATTTTATTTTTGCTCACTACAATCTATCAGGCTTGCTTACGCTACTCCCCCAAACTTGAGGGAAGCGACTCTCCAAAACTTGAAGGAGACCGTGTCCTCACTGATTTTAAGTGTGAAAAATTTGAAGGTGCGTAAAAAATTTTTACCACTAAAGGACAAGGATCCTCTTAAAAGATGTAAAAAGTTTAAAAGTTAAAACTAGAGAAGTAGAAAATGATTTTATCTTAAAACAACGTGGCAAATGAGTCATAGCTTGATCTAAATAGTAGAAAACAAAGCTCATACATATTCCTAAATATCATCATCGACATGAGAAAAGAACAAGAACCTACTCAAAGATGGCAAATCCAAGACTTTTCATGTGTAAAATTGATAAGACAAATGGTGCATTTACTTGAAGATTCACAAAAAATAAAGTGGGGCAATAGTAGTCTTGATATGCATGAGAATAGAACTCTAGGCCAACACAAAAACACAATTCTCAACTGTTTGTAGCATGCTTCCAGATAAACAAAATCCAAA